CGGGCTTCCTGTAGTCAGCCGCTGGTCAGTTTCAGCAGCGGCTGAATCTGGACGCCAGTTCCGACTTACATACAGATTCAACTTAAGAACAAACCTACAGTCCCTATCTTGTAAGTAACCTGGGGACTGCCTGTATGCTGTCAAAAAATCCAACAAATATTTCCACCATGAACACTGGTGTGAGTATGAATTTACACAAGTATGCACCACAATTTCTTGTATGCTGAATTTTCTTACAAACCAAAATGGGCCTGGTCAAGCATCCTCCCAATAAAGGAATTAAAGCGGTCTCAACTGTCATTAAAGTGAATTTGATTTTATGAAATGAATGGTTGTGAATACAGTAAAACTCCAATAGTCCGGCATCTAACTGTTCGGCACTCCCGATACTCCGGCATCAAAATGCCAAGTGCTCCTGACCAGCTGATTAAAAAGCCTGCTGCTCAGCACACGTGCTGGCTGTAACCAGAGGGAGCATAAGGTTGGGGAAGGGAGGGAGAGAGCGGGATTGTGTTACAATATGGAAAAGAGCACTTTGCTTCAGCAAAGAGGAAAGGGGAGGGGAAGGAGGATCAGGTTACAGCAGGAAGGAGAGAGACTGGAAGAGGAAAGGGGAAGGGAGGGGGTGGAGGATCAGGTTACAGCACTGAGGAGATGCGAAGAGGAAAGGGGAGGGGAGGGGAGAGGGAGGGAGATTGTGTCCTGGCCAGCTATTAAGCCGTGCAACTGTACCAGACCTCCTGATTCTCCAGCAAATCTGATAATCCGGCACCACCTAGGTCCAAAAGGTGCCGGATTATCAGAAATCTACTGTACTTGTTTGCTACATTCTTGGCTCTATATTCCTCAGTAAAGGATACACACCTGGTTATATTCAAAGTTGTTCTTTAAAGAGTCTCTGGAGTCCTGAAAAGGGAAAAAAAAAAAATACATGTCTGGGCCAGCAGAAAAATTAGATCCTATCCGTAATATTCTTTCTAGAATGCTCCATGTCTAGTAGCCTTTACAATATTGGTACTCTCATTTTCCCTTCTAAACGAAGACAGACCAGATATTTTGATGTAAGCCATGCTTAGAACAACCGAACCTGACCCCTTCTCATCATGACTATGGTGGCCATCAATCATGAAGCAGAGTCTGCTTTGTTCAAACCAGCCTCAAGGGATAGATCTGGCAATCAAATGTCCTTCATTTACCACAGAAGAAAACTCTCCCCTTGCATGTGGAGGCAGTTTTCCCTGAATGTTGCAAACTTCTCATAGTTAAAATAATCATTTCTGGCCATGAGAGCCTGATCATTTAAATCCTAAAGTGCACAGTAGCCAACTAATATGATTTATGGTCAAATATATCTATTTTTTGGAACATGTTCTTTTGGTGCAGTCTCATTTTGCCGATGCAACTTTTCTGAAGTAGCTGTCACAACTAATGAAGATGGTGCCATGTGCATGTAAAAGAACTCAGTTCCTCTTAACAGGACTTGGTATTTCTTGCCCATCTTAGTGGAGGTGGGGGGTGCTGATCCAGGACTGCCAAATTACTTTAGCTAAATCCATAATAGCCTCATTTACAGGAACAGCTATCACTCAAAGAGTATGTCTACACAGCAGAGTTATTTCGAAATAACTTTCATAGTGTCTACACAGCCAAACCACTATTTCAAAATAAATTTGAAATAGCGGCACGCTTATTTCAAATTTGGTAAACCTCATTCTACGAGGAATAACGCCAAATTTGAAATAGCTATTATGAAATAAGTGCTGTGTAGACACTTATTTCGAAATAGGGGGCCTCCAGCCTTCCCAGGGTGCCCTGGTGGCCACTCCAGTCTCAACCAAGAACACTCCACTTCCTCCCCCCACTCCCCGGACCCCTTAAGGGGGTTGACTCTGGCCACAGTGCCTGTACCAGCTCCAATCCTGTCAGCCCAGAGCCAGCAGTCACTGCCCCAACCGAGTGGCCCCAAGACATGAGCCAGCAAGTCACTGGCAGCCAGCCCTCCACCGCTCCCCAGGAGCAGGCTGCCAGCTCCCAGGATTCCCCCATCTTCCATGATCGCCAAACTGGATGGAGGAACGTGGCCATCGATGGCAAGATAACTGCCAGCCTGGCCACCAAAGGCCACATGCGAACCCAGGAGGAGGTTTGCATGAAAATCAAGTTGGTCCGGTAAGACCCCCAACCCTGAGCTTCCCCTCTCCCTTCTTTCCCTTGCTTCCCCCTTCCAGCACCCTCTGCCCACGTTTCCCCCTCCCCTCTTCCATCCTCTCTTTTCCCCCTCCTGCCTCCTTTCCCCCATCTCACCAGAGATCATTCCCCGACCCCAGTTTTTTTAAATAAAGAGCGTTTGTGTTCATGAAAATACATGTATTTTATTTGACATCAGGAAGGGGGGTTAGGGAGGGGTAAGTGGAAGGACATGGGGGAGGAATGAGGCACAAGCCCTCAGTGGGACAGACCAGGGAGGCTCTTAGTGCTCCTCAGAGTGGAAGTTCTCCTGCAGGGCCTCCTGGATACTGACAGCCCCCAATGGACCTCCCAAATGGCAGCCTGCAGAAAGTGCAGCCAGGCTCGCAGCAACACGTTCACGAGAAGCACCAGAGAGCTTCAGCTCCATGTTGCAGAGTGCTGTGGTGTCCCGAGTGAGGGCAACCAGAGCACACAGAGACAAAATACTTTGCTGTCCCTCATCGAGGTAGGCAAGCAAGCAGGGAAACCTGAGAACCGGCTGTTATGGGGGGGGGCCCTTTAAGCACAGGCCTCATATTAACTGGAGCACGTAGAAACAAAATGCTTTGCTGTCCCTCATTGAGGTAGACAAGCAAGCAGGGAAACCTGAGAACTGGCTGTCCGGGGCAGGTCCTTTAAGTACAGACCTCAGATAGCCTCAGGCAGCATCCCCACACAGCCTTAAATGCGATTCAGAGTCCACTCAGTGTGGACACGATATTTTGAAATAGCAATACGTTATTTCGAAATGCATTTTGTATGTACAGGCAGTCCCCGACTTACGCGGATCTGCAGTTACGAACGGGGCTGCCCCAGAGTACACGGACTGCGGGACCTCGCGGTCCTGCCGCCCGTGTACTCTGGGGCTTTGCTCTGCGTCTCCCTGGTCTGCAGACCAGGAAGACGCAGAGCAAAGCTGCGGAGGGGCTCGGGCAGCGGGGCAGTCTAGGCGCTCCTGGGGT